TTCGGGAGAATCTTTAGAAAAGATTTTGAATAACACAGTATTTTACTTTTATTCGGCAAGCTGCCTTTAATTTTCATTGGGAATGGTTGATGGATTTCGAGGTATTATCCCAAATTTCCCAAGAGAAAGCTTTAGTTTACGATCTGAGAATTTACACTAACCGTTTTCTCGTAAATGTTGGTGCCATTTTGTTTTTCTGATCTTGAAATCTGTCCACCATATATATATATATATAACATTATAGAATTAGTATGACCTTGTTTTCGCAACTTGGTCATATTAATAGGAAGACCTAAAGAAACGCACCGAATCCGGAATACAGAGTATGCATGAAAGTTTCCAGAGTCGGACCATGGACGTGGTAAATTTCAAGACGTTTCGCCGGCATCGTCATTGAGCCTTGCTATTCTTAGCACCACACTATAACTCGTCAAAGAGACAAGTCCGACTCTGAAAATTATCATGCATACTATGGACTCCTGATTTGCTGAATTTCTCTTTGTCTTCCTACCAATATGACCAAGTTGCATATTCAAGGTCAAACAACTTCTATACAATGAAAGGAGACTGCAACAATACAAAAGGCCACACTATCTTGGTCTTCATACCTTAGTATATAACATTATGTTTGTAAGTTATTCTCCACATCTGATTAAATATAGAATTTATTTAGACTAAAGTTTTGGCATTAGAAGAGACAAAAGTTAATGTAACTTTATAACTTTCTGGTTTTATTATAAATTTTTCATACTTTTTTTGTAGAAGTCTTCATTTCGAGACATATCAACATTCAACAAGGTCTATCTAGCCATCCCTAAGTCTGTCGAACGCAGCAATAATCTAGATCGTTTTCTCGCAATACGTCACAAAGAATATCGTCAAGTCGCTTCCAGCCGGTCCCTACCTCCTGTAGATAGCTTAACGGCTGTTGAAAATACGAAAAAAAAAGAACTATACTTTCCTGCCTTTTTTGAGTTCCTTAAATTCAGTGGACTGTTTCGTAGCCAAAAGAATTCTAATGTCATTGCTTCTGATCGAGGAGAACAGGTCTCTTATTTCGTTGTGTTGACTTCAAGCGATGACGAGGATAGCGATTGTACTGGCCATACCCCCAAAGTGCAGGGGGTGATCGGATCACCTCGAGTCACCAAACTGACGACTAGTGAACACGTGAAGAGTAATCAGAAACACACAAACAAATCCCAAAATAAACAGGTAATTTTGCATAATATCTATATGTTCTTATTTGATTACCCGCATTTTTTAGGCGAAGTATGGCTATTTAACTTTTATGGTTTGCTAATTGAAAGCTAGCAACTTATATAGCATTTATATAAAAGATAATATACTAAGTCTCTATGACCATGATATGCTCACAGATAAAACTTCTTATCAGGACTTTAGCCTAGAAACTGAAAAATAATTGGCTTTCATTACAAATTTTCTTGTTATAAATGTCTGGTTTGGTAAGGAATCTTTCTTCAAGCTGACTCATCTATGTATGGAGTTGTTGCCAGTATCTTCTATTCATTCCAGGATAAATTTAAAAAAAGGCTTGATTTTTTATTGAGACTCGATGCTATTAATATTCATTGACTAAATAAAGTTGCTTAGGAGGTCAATTGCTAAAAATGTTTTAAAGTACTACCAACTCTTTAGGCCAGTGGTTCCCAAACTTTTCCTAGTCGCGGCGCCCTTTTTCAATTAAACTTTTTCTATGGCGCACTACCCTAAGTATGACTATTCGTAAGTAAGCGATAAAAATAAATAACACTCGTGTATCTTCATTTAAAAAAAAATACTTTATTAACATTAAATTAATATTTAATAATTAGTGTGATGGATGAGCCTGCAAATCACTGCACATTCACACTAGTGCCACTGGTTAAAGGCATACTTTCTTTATCTGAACTATTACGTTTGTAACTGTTCAAAAATCGGTCCATTATCAAAGATACAAGAGCCAAAAATCACAAAATTACTTATCAAAGATAACAAACAAGAAG